GTTCGAAGTCTGTTAACTCTGACATAATGCAATGACAACCTCACATAACAGTACTCCGACAACAACTGAACTGTTTAGCACATTTTACGAAGTTGTATAGGTGGCGTCAGTAGTCAAAAACGCCAGCGCCACCTATATATTCCATTAAAATCAATCTTTCTTTTCAAACATGCATTTCACAAGGGGTTTCCATATTTTTGTCCATCCACTGTTTATTTAACCTGTCAAATTGGGAAGACAGAGAGTACTCTGGAAGTTTTCGACATGATAATAATAATGATGATGCATTAAACTGCTGGTGCAACTGGAGATTCAGTAGTAGCAGATACGCGGCAAGAAATAAAAATGAATCATGCATTAATATTTCATCGTTACTTACGTAGATCAAGTCATTATGCCTGTAACTACTATGCTTATCATTGATGAAAATTGAATTTCGTCGTCTATTTTGCCTGACGTGAAAGGTTTGAAATGCTAAAAAGTGCACTTTATTGTTCAAACTGATGCATTTTTTAGCACTGTAATTTTTTAATCCGCATTCAAAGTATGTTTCAGAGTGCGATAAATCTGTATGTTCTTTCCCATTTTAAATCAAACTCTTCTTCAATCATTGTATAAAATAAACGTTGAATAATATTTACGCTTTTCAACTCTTTACATAAATGCTAATATTTTCTTAATTTATTTCTTTACGCGAAAAAGGTACTAATGCAGTGTGAAAAAATCTGATATCTATACCACATGACTTCCTTGTACGGAATATTAAATTATACGCATTTTCTGCATTCATTTCAACTTAGCGAAAATCTACTTCGGCGATAGCGCATTAAACCACAATAGAATAAATGCACTCTTTTAAATCACTTAAATTTGTTTGCTATAGCGACCTCTGGCGTTAGGTTCATAACAGCTTATATTTCGTTCTTATTATAACTCAAAGCAAAATGTATATCATTTGAAGAATTATCTAATCGCTGACTGTTCTATTAAATATATAAAAATCTAGAACATGTATAAAAGAAATAAGCAACAACAAAAAGGAAGCATTTTTCAAGGATTCAGTATTTCTCATTCAATTCAGTTTACTTCGCGACAAGGCAAAAATACATAAAACCAAATTCTATAGTAAAAATTAGAAGAAATTTTAACACTTTTTCCTCGAAAAAAACATAAAAGGCTTAAGCATGATTAATTCGAAACGTTACCTTTGTTGTTGCGAAGCTTAGTCTCTACAACAAATCGATTCTTGTAATGTAAACAATTTCAGCCATGTTATTTAAAACTAAAGCTTAACCGATTTTAAGCAGCTTTTAAATTGTGATAATGACAAAATTATGCAGATTTTCTAAAGGCATAAAAAACCTTAACGAAAGATAAGAACAACATAATTCAAACTATTTTTAACCAAAAAAGCGCATTTACAAGCATATAAAGAAAGACTGAGATTACTGAGTACGTACAGAGTGGATATATATAAAGATTTAACGTTTGGTGGGCCCATTCAACCAAAATACGAGGTGCACATCTACATGTTATAGCAGTCTCTATCTACAAAATTTCAACGTTCGAGGCTCTTTTTTGACATGGGGTATCGTATACGGACACCAGGCATAAAATTAGACGGGGGGAAAATTTTATCCTGTTTTACGTACGATGTCACGCAAAACTCGTTAATGCATTCGCAGTGCATATGGATATTTCGTTGAAATATGCTGCCTGAAACTTTTGCATTACAATACTTCCTTTTGTTTCTACAAGGAAGTAAAAACACTGTGGATAAGTAAATTTATCAATGTGTTGAAATTGTAACATGTTGGCTTTAGTTGAACGTGTGACATGCATACAAATCAAGGTGTGTGTGTGATTATGGCAAAGCCTCGAGGGCTATCTGCTAAGGGAGAGACCTTCGTGGAAGACTTCTAAGTGAAACTGGCTCGTATACACGTTACATGGGGAAAAACCACGAAAGCCATGCAGCCAGCCCGGTCGCGGGATTCGAACCTCGGACCGAACTACCAGTGTTCAGCGACTTTACCGCTCGGCCGCTGGTGAGCCCCACACAAAATCAAGAAGAAAGCAAATTTTCCAAACCTATTCAAGGTTTTGTATTAGTTTAGGGGGTGGAACTGCAGGACTTTAGTTAGAATTTATATTTTTATTCCACTAGTTTAAATTTTCCTTATTCTTAGATTATTCTTAGAATAGGATTTATTCTTAGAGCAATCCTGGAATAACCTAGCAGTTCTTGTTCCTCAAACCTCCGATCGCTGTAGCACTTGATTCTTGAACCTCATCTCTCAATCTATACTAGATAAAGGTTGTGTTCACTAAACCTTTAATTAATAAATCATTATTTGTAATTTGATGACGTTAGTACTAAATTTCCTACGTCTAAATAGGCGGAATGACACGAAGGTGAAATAGGCGAAGTACTTTACTGAGAAGTTTTTAATAAGTATGTGATTATAAATTATCATTATGTCTCCTGATTCTTACAAAAATCATACTTAAGAATTCTTTAAGACGCAAATTTTCCAATTATACATTTCAGAAGACTAATGCCCCTATTTGTCAGTCTTACCAATGTAAGACCAATGTAGACCAGTCTTACCAATGTAAGGATAAAAAAGGTTCATGTAAATTTTTAATTTAACTATACAGCTTTTGGATCGCGTAAGTTCTCGAAGAAACTGTATCGAACTGAATCTTTATTTTAGATCTTTAGTCTTCTTATAATGACATTTTTGATTAGTTCTCTCACATTCCTTAAATTATATACATGTGTATGTACACCGTATCTACAAAAGTCTTCTCCTGGCCTTTATTTTGGATAATGTTGGCCATACTTCCCACTTCAAAAAATAAATAAAAACAAGAGGTTTGACGAAAGTTGCTAAATGTATTTAATTTCAAAATTTTGAATATTTATTTCCTTTTCTACTTGCTATAATGGATCGATTAATAGATAAATTAGTCTACCAGCGGCAGAGCAGTAAAATCGATGAAGACTGGTATTTCGACCTAGGTTCGATTCTAGGCAAACGGACTAGTTCCAAGTGCTTTTCCCCATGTAAAGTGTGAATACGAGCCACTTACCCTTAGAAAGTCCTCATAAAGTCCTCTTAGGCGCCTAACCCTCGAATGCTTTGCCATAATCAAATAAATTAAATCGAACTTTTTTTTTGCAATGGCAGTCACCTGCCTATGTCGGGGGCCGCCGCTCCTAAGGCCAGATGTGGTGGTCTCTTTATTATGGAGGCAGCTAATAGGCAGGCCACCTTTGCCTCCTATGAAGGGACAGACTTCTCCAGGATTCGAACCCGGGCCCTTCGGTATCGCAGTCAGACTCCCCTAACCACTTTACCGTCTGGGCGGCAATTAAACCAAACTAAACAAGTAAATTATTTAGAATAACTTGACGCTCAATCCTTAAATGCTATTTAATTATATTCTTTTGTTGTTTACTAATGTAAAACATTCTTTAAGTTATAATTTTGCTACAATTTGTATGCCGAAAGAATTTTTACACAAGTGATTTATAAATTTTCAAATGCTAAAAATACGTTACTAGTATTCCTATGAAGTTTGATTAGATTAGAATCATAATCTAATTATTATACGAAAAAATTCGTTAAACAGGAAATATTTTGCATTTTAAATTTATACAAATAATATTACGAGTTGTGTATGTGGTAATATTAAAGCTTACCAGTATTTTAAATTTTATAATATTATTCGAATAAGATCTCTTCCTCCCCCCTCCGCCTTAAAAACTGTATTTGTAAGGAATATCCTCCTGCCTTACCCCATGCCTTCGTTGTGTAATTGGAAGCATGTTCGGCTAGCAATCGGGAGATCAAGAGTTCGAATTCTGCCGCTGATACTGTCGTTCTTCATGTATCCAGTCTTTGAAAAATTCTAAATAACTATAGAAATGACACCTGAATTAAAATGTGGTGAGCGATAATTCGCCACTACACTGATTTGGTGACTGGGTTTCATCCTATCTAGTCGCCCTTTCAATGGACAAGAATGTTAGGAACTTTCTTCTTCCTTACTGCTTGACTTTGTGGTATAAATGGAAGCACGTCCAGCTGGCTGTCAGCAGTCTGGAGTTTGAAACCTGTCGGCACTGTTGATTTTTTTTTCCTCTTTCGTACTTCAAAATAATTCTAATGACTCTAATAAAAGTATAATGCAAAATAATTATAATTAATCAACATTTTTCGCAACATTCTGCATAAAAATGCTCATCATGTAATCTGTTAACAGCTGAAATCTTTTTCTAAACCGATAGCTCATTTTTAGTTACATAGGAAAGCAAACATGTCACTCTTCAATTTCTGTACCTGAGTATCTTTGAGTTTAAAAGGAAATATCTCGATTAAATTTTCTTGCATGGGAATCACACTTTTTGTATTTTATTTTTATGATGATTATATGTTTTTCCTAAACATAAAATTAGGGATATGATGAGCATATTTAGATTTCTATATTTTTCAAAACTAATTTTTTAATTTAAAAATTTCAAAACAAAACCATTTTCATCTCTTAAAGCATTTGTACAGATGGAAATATATGAATACAATAAAAGTTGCGAGAAAATAAACGCCGGATAAAGACATTCTAAATACCCTGTGTGTGTGTGTGTGTGTGTATGTATGATAAATTAAGGCTAATTCTTGAAAATTGATAGAACAGATCTTGGAAAAAGACCTGCTTCATGTTTTAAATATATGCTTCATACCCTTTAATGACATTATAATAAAATTTACTGCCTGTCTAAATGTATTGTATGTTCCATTAATGATTCATTGGTAGTACTAAGAAAACGATATAGTAGTTTGCAATCGAGAATAAATTGAGAAAATGCTGAAATTGCCCTTTATATTGCATGCAAAATGTAGTATAAGTTCCATTTGTGATTTACTGCTGTGATGTAAATGCTGGAATGTTTTGTCAACGTTCATGATATCTTAAGCTATCTTTTATACTCTCAGGTAATTTCTTTCATTGGGAAGAAAGTTTAAACTCCACCAACATGAGCGTTCTTTCAAGTTACAGTTCCATTGTGATGTGAAGACTAACTTCTGACAGAAGAAGATCGAAAGAAAAAAAAAATGAAAGCAGATAATCACCACAGGACATTAAGGACTAGCTCTTCCATCGGTGAGGCATATGATATACACGAATCTCACAGCCACGAACCTCTAGTTGCCCAGGCTCATAACTTAGAGGACTTATCCAGTACTAGAGAAGATAAACTAGAAGAAGATGATGACGAAGATGATGAGGGAGCACCGTGTGGTTGGGGTCGTCTCCAACCTACTCAATTACAGAAGTTCCGCTCTGCCCGCTGGGTCTTATTCTGGTTATGCTGGGCCGGTTTCTTGCAGGGTCTGATAGTGAACGGTTTCATCAATGTGGTAATTACTACCATTGAGAAGAGGTATCAGCTACGAAGTACTGAATCTGGTCTCATAGCTGGTGGATATGATATCGCATCATTTCTGTGCCTTGTGCCTGTCAGTTACCTAGGGGGCTCTCGCAGCAAGCCCGTCTTCATCGGCAGCGGTGTTTTAATCTTGGCGCTCGGGTCCTTTGTCTTTTCCCTGCCCCATTATATGTCTGGTCCCTATTCCTTCAGCCAAGAACGAGAAGATCTATGTGCAGCTACCAATAACTCAATGGATTGCTCTGGAGATGGCGGGACCCATCTATCTCAGTTCAAATATGTATTCTTCTTAGGGCAACTTCTGCATGGCGCTGGTGCCGCACCATTCTACACCTTAGGATGCACCTATTTGGATGAAAATGTTTCGACGAAAATGTCTTCCGTTTACCTTGGTAAGTTCATAATCGTCTTATTTTAAGTATTTTCAATACTAAAGTTTTATGTATCATTATTTGCTTTTTTTTTTTAAGTTTTTAAAAGTTTTTTGTGCACGGACAAAATCAATAATATGCCCGAGATAAAACTTTGATGTTTAAATCAGGATTTAGGGAATTTTTTTTAATTAGTTTAATTATTGTATTGATTTTTTTAAATTCCTTCAAGGTTTATCTCCTTCAACGAATTTAAGGCAATGTTTCAATTCAGTACATATTTTTCTAAAATGTAAGCATTAGATATTTCTAGTTTTAAATATTCCATCGAAATATGAATGCTATGCATTCGAAAATATTTATATATATGCGATTATTATCTGAAGTTTATACGTAATACTTATTTGTCGCGTCGCGTATTGCTATGAGATAAAAAGGCCTTCAAAGACGACCGAATATATTTTTATACCAATATTGCGTTGATCAATATAAGTTTTATAAATAACTTAATACGCATAAAAGGAAAATTATCTGTAAGTTGATAGTCAGTTAGAAAGAAGCTAAGGTTATCTGTCATTTTACAGACCTTCGGAAAGATTGTATATGAGGAAGTCTGTAGTGTACATACACTCATGTCCATAAATTAAGGATAATGCAAAATCAGGCAAAGGAAGAGTTAGAAGCAAAACAAATTTGACTTATTTGTAAAGCTTATTTATTAAACAAAAGGTAAAGAGAAAAAAAATGCTATATGTTTGATATTATTAAATAAAAATAGCGATTTTTTCTCCCTGGAGCAAATTACAAAAAACACCTATTTACAAAAAAACAATATTACATGGTTGGTATGATTTTTAATACATTGTGTGTCTCCCAGACGATGCAATACAGTCCGTACAACGCCTAGGCATGCTGAGTATCAAATTATCGATCTGATCTTGGAGGATATTACACCATTCAAAACGCAATGCTCTCCAAAGTTCCGGTAGACATGTAGGAGGAGGTTGGCGGGCTGCAACTCGTCGGCCAAGTATGTCTCACACGTGCTGTACTGGATTCAAGTCCGGTGAGAATGCTGGCCAGTCCATACGGGTGATATCCTCCGATTGAAGGGCATTCGCTGACGATGTTTGCACGGTGAGGACTGGCGCTGTAATCCATAAACACAAATTGTGCGCCCATGACGCCCCGAAACAAACGTACATGTTTTTCCAGAATGACATCCCGATAGATTTGGCTTGTCATGGTTCCAATTTGAACATGCAGGTCAGTTCTGGAACCCAGAATAATCCCCCCAAACGACACTCCTGCACAACCGTAACGGTGTCGTTCAATGATGTTTTCTCGGTGGTTAACGGTTGGTAACGGGTACCTGGAGCTCTCCATATGAAAGTCCGGCGAGAATCAGAGTGCAAGCTAAAACCTGGACTCGTCGGAAAACATCACACAAGCCCCACTGTTGCGGTGTCCACAATGCATGCTCTCTACTGCAGGCTAACCGCAGGCGACAGTGAGTTGCAGTAAGTGGAAGGCATCTGACAGGTCTACGAGCATATAGACCAATCTGCCTAAGCGTCTGTACACGGTCTGCCTTGAAATTGTCGTACCAGTGGCTGAAGAGAGCTGACAAGACAGGTCTGAGGCTGTGCTGCGGCTGTTTCTTTTGGCAGTAACTGCCAAATACCGGTCCTCATTCGGCGTTGTAACTCTGGAGCAACCTGTGCTGTAACGTCTACTCATATTATCATCATCTTGGAATCGTTGCCAAAGCCCGGAGATGACACTCTGGGCAATTCCAAGTTCGTCTTATACTTCCAGTTGGGTACACCCACATTCCAGACGGCCCATAATTCTACCACGTAAAAAATCATCCAAATGCGTCCATTTTTGTGTCATAACTATTCGGTTATTGCACTGAAATGTTTATAAAGCGCCTAAGAACAATTTTACTTCTTTGCCTGTATTCCTTGTATATCACTCTGTAACAGTCTCGTCATTGTGACGTACCATCGGTGTCATCTGGTTACTTCCTGAAATTTGCAAATGATTCTTGAAGATGTGTGTAATGATTTTACAGGTGATATATTTATTTTAGAGTTCGATTTCCGCGTGACTTCGAATTATCCTTAATTTATGGACATGAGTGTATATCAGAATATACTATAACAATCATAAGATTTGCCCGCTGCTTTGAAAATTGAATCTCAGACTGAAGTATAACTGTTTAGCCTTTTATTCATTTAGTCTCCCGTTAGTCATAAAAAAAAAGGATATTTAATACGTCTTGATCAATATAATGAACTGCAGGTAACTTAAATTTCTATTTGGTATAATGTAGAACATTACTACTAATAGTTGAGTCAGTCTGAAGGTATGCGTGCCATTTCAAGCATGAGACCCCCAAAATCATTCATTAATGGTTTGGTATGAGATTCTAATAAATAAACGAGATTAAATCGATGTTGAAATTCACAAGAGCCTGACTTTGGTACTTCCAATTGTTATGAGAAAGCGTAATTCCAACTAGAGCACACCAGTTTCATGCCACCTTTGTCAGTAACGGGATTGGCTGGCATATCGTTCGGCTGGGTTTAGAATTCTGGAAAAAGCATGGATTATTTTAAGTACATAGTGTCGTTAGAGGGACTTCATATACGGGGCACTTAAAATCTGTTGAGAGGAAAGTATTCTTGAGAAATTGATCGTAGCGGAAATAGGCCGCTGAATTTCGACGTTTCTGTTTTCAGGCTGCTCTTCATTAAAACCGGAAGGGAGGTGGGTAAAAGTCGTATTGTCACCTGTAAGATGTTCAAGATCTTAACCAGCAACAGTTGGTCTCTTCTTAGCCACGATGAACTCGTCGACTTGATCTGATTGTGATTCAAATCAAGAAGATAGGCAATAACATATATTTACTTTTCATCTTATAACTGAATTAAAATATCAGCAGCGAGTTCTGCAATATTTCTTTAAGTATTTTTTTTTTAAACTGAAATTGATTGTAGCTACTAAAAGTACAACCCATTTCGCCTGAAAAAGAATAATGTCGGAAACCTTGAGCAGTTGAAAAGGAATGCTTTTAAGGCGAAATGCGATCGTTCCACGGAAAGGAATATTTAGAAGCTGTATCCATTTGGTCAAGAAGGCTTTAAACAGATTAAAAGCCAAAAAAATATATATATATATATATATATTTTTCCTGCAAAGGATACTGTTCAAAATATTCATTTTTCCTTCACCTTCAATTTTATTCCCTATACTCTCATTAATTTACTTACTTTTCTTCTTTTTTTTAATTTTGATTCTTTTATTTCAATTCATATTATCTATTTATCATTAATTTAATTTATTAAAATTTTATTTACCCCTTTATATTTTAACTTATCATTATTTATTTTGATTTATTTTCAATTAATTAATTAATTACCATATTACCGTATATACCCGCGTATAAGTCGAGATATTTTGGCCAAAAAAAAAGACTTCAAGGTGGGGGGGGGGTCGACTTATACGCGGGGCCATAAAAAATTAAAAGAATCGGAAGTTCAAAAATTTCTTTGTATGATGCAGTTGTTTTCTTCCCGCACTCGAATTGGACGACTTATCAAATAAGTCACTTACTTGAAGTAATTTCATGACTTAAATTATGTGACGAACTACAGTGGTGGCCAAAATTGTGGACACTTTTGGAAATTTTTATGTTTTTGCCCCTGAAAAATGCGAATGCTTGCGAAATACCCTCTGAATGATTATAAAATCATTTAAAAAATGTTTATGTATAGCAACGAACTAGACGGCACGGAAGATGATGCTGGTTTGAAAGTGAAAATGACGAAGGCGAAGGTTGTAGTAGTGATGTAACAATACAGAGTTCGAGACTGAAAATATGTATGATGACGAGCCAATGACGACAGAAGAGTTCTATGAAATGTTTGGCGAATCTGACTATGGATCAGACGTTGAAGAATTTTGATTTTGTTTATTTACCAAGGTATTTTTTATCGTATATTTACTTTTTTTTCTGAGATGATTTTGAATAAATGTAGTACTTAAAAATTTTTTTTCGAAGTTTCTCGATCGATTTCGGAAGTGGGATGTCGACTTATACGCCGGTTTCTTATTTTCTACGAATTTTTTATGTCGAAGTGGGGGGGGGGGGGGGGGTCAACTTGTACGCGGTATCGACTTATACGCGAGTATATACGGTACTTCGAATTAAACCAGATTTTTCATTCAAGGTTTTGAGATATAAAATTAGAATGCAACTTTATCTCAAAGCGACTACTTTAGCATCTTATTTTTCAATAAATGAAGTAGATAATTATTTACATCTGTAGCTGTTTAAGGGGGAATAGGTTTCTTACTTTTCAATACCTACTGAAAAATTATTTCCAGTTTCCTAGTTTTGAAAACTGTGGCCTACTGTAGCTTAAATTCAAAGGCGGTTTAAAAACGTGAAGTAATGCGGTAATTTTTGTTCACGGTTCCTGATGACTTTCCAAAGAGCTACAGGACCTTTAATCCTTGAAATTATACCCTGGCTTACATGATACATTTTCTTTGTATTGCGTAAGCAATTATGTTTTTCTGTTTTCAAGCTGTTCCGGTCAGTTCTAATATAAAATTTAAAATGCAACAGCGATATCATTCCTGAGACATATTTGCTTTTTAAAAGTGGTAATTTTTCTTCCAGTAACGTGATGGCAGGTAAGCAGTCACTGGGTTTATTCGCGGGCTCTTGAACGTAATTTACGACTTAATTTCAAACATTTCATTTAAAAATAAGCAATAAATTAATAAGAACATAAATCAGCATTGCACAGAATATTCTGAAGAGATTTCAAAAATTGTTTTCTAGTTATGTTTTTTAAGTCACCAAAACTGAAGTAGTTGACAGAATCTTCATCATTGATTACTGCTTATTATTTGATATTAGCTGAAAAAAATGAAACAACGTTCAATATTTTCCAAAATGGAAATATAAAAAGGCATGCTCTTTCTTTTTCAAAGCAATGCTGCAT